AAATATTACAATAAAATGTGCAAAGATCTGGAATCAGAAAACCAAAAAGGAAGAACACGCTCAGCATTTCTCAAGCTGGGGGAACTGAAGAAAAATTCAAGCCTTGACTTTCATTATTGAAAGATTCTATGGGCAAATTATTGAATGATACAGAAAGCATCAAGAGAAGATTGAAGGAATACACAAAGTCACTGTACTGAAAGGAAAGGGTTAATGTTCAACTGTTTCAAGAGGTAGCCTATGATCAAGAGCCAATGATACTGAAAGAGGAAGTCCAAGGTGAATTGAAGGAATTAGCAAAGCACAAGGCACCAGGAATTGATGGAATAAAAATTGAAATCTTTCAAGAAAGTGAGGTGGCATTGGAGGCACTCACTCATCTCTGCCAAGAAATTTGGAAGACAACTATCTGGCCAACTGATTGGAAGAGATCCGTATTTGTGCCCATTCCAAAGAGAGGTGACCCAACGGAATGCAGAAATCATCTGACAATCTCTTTGATATCCCATGTGAGTAAAGTTTTGCAAAAGGTAATACAGAAACATCTACAATCATATATTGACAGAGAGCTACCAGAGGTTCAAGCCGGGTTCAGAAGAGGCCTTGGAACGAGGGATGCCATTGCTGATGTCTGATGGATCTTGGCTGAAAGCCAAGAATATCAGAAAGATGTTTAGCTGTGCTTTATTGACTACGCAAAGGCTTTTGATTGTGTGGATCATGACAAGCTATGGACAACATTGCCAAGTATGAGTATTCCGGAACACTTAATTGTGCTCATGAGGAATCTGTACCTGGACGAAGAGGCAGTTGTTTGAACAGAATATGGAAACACTGAATGGTTTAAAATAAAGAAAGGTATACGACAAGGTTGTATTCTCTCACCATACTTATTCAACCTGTAGGCTGAGCAAATAATCAGAGAAGCTGGGTTATATGAAGAAAAACGTGGCATCAGGATTGGAGGAAGACTTATTAACACACTGTGATATGCAGATGGTAAAACCTTGCTTGCTGAAAGTGAAGAGGACTTGAAACATTTACTGATGAAGATCAAAGAGCACAGTCTTCGGTATGAATTACATCTCAATGTCAAGAAAACAAAAATCCTCACCACTGGACCAATAAACAACATTCTTATCAACAGAGAAAAGATTGAAGTTGTCAAGGACGTCATACTTCTTGGATCAACTATCAACACTCACTAAAGCAGTAGTCAAGAAATCAAATGACGTATTTCATTAGGCAAATGTGCTGCACAAGACCTTTATAAAGTGTTGAAGAAGAGCAAAGATGTCAGCTTGAGAACTAAGGCGCGCCTGACCCAAGCCATGGTAATTTCAATAACCTCATATGCATGCGAAAGCTGTACAGTGAATCAGGAAGACCGTAGAAGAATTGATGCTTTTGAGTTATGGTGTTGGAGGAGAATACTGAAAGTGCCATGGACTGGCAAACGAACCAATAGATCCGTTTTGGAAGAAGTGCAGCCAGAGTGCTCCTTGGAGGCCAAGATGGCCAAACTTTGTCTCTCATACTTCAGACATATTGTCAGGAGGGACCAGTCACTGAAGAAGGATATCATGTTTGGTAAGGTGGAGGGACAGAGAAAGAGAGGAAGACCCCCAACGAGATGGATTGGCCAAGTGGCAGCGTTGATGGACTCAAGCGTGGCAACAATAATGAGGTTGGCCCAGGATCGGGCAGTGTTTCATTCTGCTGTGCATAAGCTCCCTATGGATCAGTACCGACTCGATGGCACCTAACAACAACAGTAGTAGTACCATATTTGGAGTCCTGGTGTGGTACTACATGTTAATACACTGGACTAGAAAGTTGGTTTGAATCGCAAGGTTGGCAATTCAAGCTCACCAGCCATTCCTCAGAAACCGTATACACGGTAACTATAAGTTGGAACCTATTCGGCGGCACTTAACAGTGACCAATATGAGTGTTTATACCAGCCAGCAGATGACTTTTGTAGGTTATTTCTCCTAAGCCCATCTAACTAAACAAGTTGGGTCATGATTCTGAAGTAAGTTTCTGCCAATTAGTGCATTCTATTAATTTAGGGCTAGGTTACGTTATGCAGAGGTGCAGACAACCCCTTTTTAAGTTTTAATTGTGAGTTGAGTGATACTTTACATGGGAGAACATCGGTTTTACACTCATTGCAATGATTATAATCTCCTCCATGCATCATCATTCAACAGTATTTGCTTCTATTCCCTCTGGGTGTTTTGTTTTGTTTCATTTTTTTTGTTTGTTTGTTGTTGTTTTTTTTTTTTGGTGTTTCTTTTGGGGGGCGGGGGTGGATATACACAAAAACACTCAGGAATATATGATCATTTAAACAACCGAAGGGCACATTTTGCAAGCCTGCCTCCTGGCCACAAGCACACAGCCTTTCTAAAAGAGTGGTATTTGATAAAATAACTTCTTAATGTTTTTAATATTTTCAGCTTCAATGGCGACTTAATTCCTGATGTATTTGGTATCACAAATGAGTCCAGCCAGCCACAGATATTACTAGGAGGGTGAGTAAACATGATTATACCAAGCAATTAGTTGTGTGTATTCATGCTGCTACAGGGATTGCATGTGTATGTGAACTGATTATTTTAAACATTGAAGGTAAAGTCTAGCTTATTAGAAATACTGTTCTAAAAGATTTTTAGAAGGGAATTTGGTCAACATATAAGCTTACTGAAGTTATTTAGATTTGATTGCAGCTACTTTCTTTGTAGATCAAGAGAAGTTAGAGATAAGAAACTTAGCCTGTTTCCCCAATAAATAGCGATTTGTTGTAGATGTTTTTAGAGATGGAAAGATTTCACTGAAATTGGATAAATCCCTGAAACCTTGATTGGATATTTTACCATAGTCATGTTGTCTTCCAGACTTTATGCTTTTTTTTCATTTATTTGTTCAGTGAGCAATCAATTTTGTCTGAAAATATAAGTATACCTCTAAAACTGTTCAGTGTCTGCTTTATTGTTGACTGTGTATGTGTGTGGGTGTGTGTGGGCTCTCTCCTTACCCAGGCATGCCTTGCTCACCAGTGAAAAGCTGCCTGGAACCTAGCAATCAAAGATGTCCATTATAATTCTTCTGAATTTAAGTAAAACTGGGCTTTCCACAAGAATTCAGGATAGTGAGATTGTGAGAGTTCATGAGATTCCTTCTACTTTTGGTCAATTTTTTTCTATGTCTTAAAAGACAAAATTTAGTTCCAAAGTACAGAGCATGTTTATTTACTGTGCTGGCTTTCCAGATGCAGAGAACCACCTTTGTCAATTTGTCATGCTCAGGTACCTGCAAATCTAATGAATGTTCCTTCTGTGTTTTGGAGAAATACTATCTTTTTATGATTAGTTTTTGAAACATGATTCACAGGCACACAGATGAGTAAACTGTGAAAATTTAAGGTATTGTAATAGAAAACTGCTACATTCCTACTCAAAATTTTAATTAAAAAATACAACTATTTTGATGCTAGTCACCACTGTGAACTTTGAGAGAAACCTTTCAAAGTTTTTATTCCCCTTAAGCCTGGAGAAATAACTAGAAGAGGACTCTACTATAGATACCAGTTAGATGGAGATGCTGCTGTTCTGTGACCATGTCTTGAGGGAACTTGAGTACAGACTGGATGGGGGCGGGGGTTTGAGGGGTAGACACACTACTCCCACCTTGACAGGCCTTTTGTTATACTTTGGACTCAGACTGCTTGGGAAACCCTATCTTTACCTATCCTCTTCAAAGGTAGACTATAATTGAAATCTCAATTGTGACTTTTGGTCTGGTTTGTTTCATGGTAAGGTCCATTTTACTCGATGATCTTTGAATATCTTTAATCTGGTATAGTTTGATTTTTAGAAATTAAAACTTTCATAACACCTATTATTGGCATTTCAAAAAGTAAAAATCTTTAATACTTGTTGACGTTCTACCTAGTTTAAAAGAAAACTATTTAGAATATCATGGTATAGTTTCATAGCTTCTTTATTTATTCTGAACTCTGTGTTAGAATTTTTCTGTAATAACTCTTTTAAAAATGTAATTTTAGTGTGGTGCTGTAGGATAAGCACTGGACTGAATGGTCACTTTGAACTGCAAGGGTTGGCAGTTCAAACTCAACAGCTGGTCCTCAGAAATGCTATACCAGGTCGCGCTGAGTCAGAACAGACTCAATAGCACTTAACAACAAAAGGATATTCTGTCTAAAGTAATACTCTGGTATTTTGTGATGTTATAAATTAAACAGTAATAGCTAACCATGTTCTAAGTAACAAGTTTGAATCCAAAATTTGTCTTGATGCCAATTTAGGAGTGTAGTTGTATAAATTGGGAGAAAAGAATTTCTGTCAATAAAGTTATGATGATCATTGCCTTAGCATTATCACTATGATTCAGATAGCAGAAAGTTGAACCAAGTCCCAATGAGAGCAAGCATTTCTATGTTACTAAAATAAGACAAACATATTTAGCCCATATCACTTTTATAAGCTGCCAGCACATGCATACAACCTAAGTGAAAATGCAGTCAGCAGTGACGTATTTATCATCCACATGAGCAACCTAATTTTATTTACCAAGAAATCTAAACTTTTCTGATTTATTGTGAAACCTAAACTAAATCTGACAACTTAAATAATGAGTTTAACACATTTGTCAGACCCAAGATTATCTTAAATTTGGACAGCATCTTCATTTTATGTGAAACATGCAATGAGTTAAATCAATGCTGAATGCTTTTATGGGATTTTGCTGGAAAGCCCATGGCTGTGACCAACCCAGTGCAAACTTAGAATTAATAGATTACCCATGGGTTAAGCTATCATACCAACTTGGCAGTAGAAAAGGTGCAGTTGGCCAGCTTGGACAGGCAGTAGTAATTGTTGTTCTTGTTGTTGTTACTAAGTGCTGTTGAGTCAGTTCTGACTCATCACATCCCTGTATAGGGTTTCCAAGGAACAACTGTTGAGTTTGAACCACTTACCTTGGAGTTCAAACTGATCTTGCAGTCCAGCACATAAACCCGCAGTGCCATACCAGGGCTCCTGGCAATAGTAATTAGTGTTGTTAAGTGCCATAGAGTCGGTTCTGACTTATAGTGACCCTATATAGGGTTTCCAAGGAGCGGCTAGTGAGCTTAAACTGCTGACATTGCAGTTCAGACCAACCTTGCAGTCTAGTGCATTTACCCCACAGTGCGACACGGCATGAGTAATAGGCAGAAGCAAAACCCATGGCCAAAGAGTTGATGCCAAGGCTTAAGACCTTATTATACAAAGTAGAACTTCTATATAGGGTTTTTCAAAGCAGAGGAGTCCTGATGTGGTGCTGTAGGATAAGCACTGGACTGCTAATCACAAGGTCAACAATTCAAGCGCACCAGTCACTCCTCAGAAACCTTGTACAGAGTCATTTTTAATTGGAACCTACGCAACACATCAACTACCACAATTTTTATAGAAGCAGAATGTCACATCTTTTTCCTGTGGAGCAACTGGTGGGCTTCAACTGCTGACCTTTTGATTGACAGCTCAGTGCTTTAACCACTACACAATTACCATGGCTGCTGATAAGCAGAAGAATCCCTTATAATTGATGGAGTGGAAGGACTTATCAGAGAAGGAAGGATGCTAAATTTATTTAAGTGGCGAGATCATTGAATTGTGTTGAACGGTCAAAAGCGAGGCTTCAGTTTGCACCTCAACCTCACTTTGTAATGACTGGAAATAATGTAATAATGTATCGGATTAATTAGATATAACACCTATAACTGTTAGGTGTTTCAGCACTTTTGGCAGTGATGTAAGGTTGTCTTGTTAATGAATGTTCTCTATAAAAGTATTTGAAACTGATTTTGCATAAGCATTCCAAATATATATTTTTTAGTATTGAAATGGAAACACTTGTGCCTGTAATTTTAATCAAAGTTAAATGTAATGTTGAATTTTGTTCACATATTCTGTAAATCAGGCTAGAGTTAAATCCTTGGAGATATTAGTGTCAGTTCAAGAGGGCTTCAAAAAGTTTGTGGAAAGGTTCCATTGTGTTTTAATTTCACAGGCTTTCTGAAGCACCTTCATATATGACAGATATACGATACAAATATCATATATTTGGCCATAATGTGTTTACTTCACAAGTGGTTACGTGAGATTTTTTAATGTAATATTAATTTTACTTCAAGCAGCATTATTAGCTGCATAAGCTGTGTGGGTGGCCATATAAAATGTAACTATTGCTCTCTTCCTGTCGGGAGCCAAGAAATGTAAAGATAATTGAAGACACATGGAAATAATTAGTCCGATGAGCTAATTGACCACACAAACCTCAGACTTCATGACCTTAAGACCAAAAGAACTGCATGGTGCCCAGCTACCACTACGAACCACTCTGAAAGGGCTCTGAAAGATATTGGATAGAGTGTAAAAAAATGTGGAAAGAAGCTCAAAATCATTTTAAAAATGACTTGTCGGATAGAGACTGGTGGCACCCCAATACTAAAGTCCTTAGTCAACATTCAGGTCCAGAACTGAACTCACCAATTTGTATCCAAACAATGTTGTTATGTGCCATGGAGTCAGTTCCAACTCATAGGGACCCTGTACAGGGTTTCCAAGGCTATAAATCTTTACGGGAGCAGAAAGCCTCATCTTTCTCCCACAGAACAGCTGGTACTTTCGAACTGCTTACCATGAAATTAGCAGCCCGATTCGTAACCACTACACTACCAGAGCTCCAACAATGACAAGGCTAAAACGGAAACAATCTGAGTTGGAAGAAGTACAGCTGGAATGCTCCTTGGAAGTCAGGATGGTCAGACTTCTACTCTAATATTTAGGAAACATTATCAGGAGGGACCAGTCCCTGGAGAAGGACATCATGCGTGGCAAAGTGGAGGGTAGGAGAAAAGGAGGATGACCCCAACGAGATGGATTGGTACCATTGCAGCAGCATAGTGATTGTGAGGTTGGTACAGGACCAGGCAATGTTTCCTTCTGTTGTACATAGGGTCACTATTAGTTGGTGCTGACTCCATGGCACCTAACAACAACAATGAAAGGGTAATTGTAATGCTAAGTAGATTATGCATGTCTTAGAACAATCAACCTATTTAAGGTCAAAAGGATAATATTTGCCTAAGGACTAAGTTTAGAAGACAGGAAGGGTTAGGAAAGAAGCAGGGTACAGGAAATACAAGGAAGAAGTGGAATAAATAATATTACATTGTGTGGATTGCAGTCAGTAACACGACACAGAATGTATATGAATTGTTGAACAAAAAATTGGTTAGCTCTGTAAACCTTCACCTAATTCCCAATAGAAGTTAAAAAATAAATAAAAGTTGTGGGTGGGTTTTTATTCCCCATGATCAGAAAAAACAAACAAACAAAAAAAAAACTTCCTTTTGAAAATATAGCTAGCACTCTGCAGAGGTGTGGGGGAAAAAAATAAACACAGAGAAGGAGCTTTCGCAGAGCAGCACCAGAGTTTTGGATCTTGTATAAGGTTCCAGGCGCTG